GGCTCCCTAAGGTAATTTTTATTACAAATAGCCACATTTAACTATTTTTTTAAGAGCTGGAGTCTTGCCCTTAACAAAAAGGCAAATGTAGTGGCGTGATCATAACTCACTGCAGGCTCGAACTCCCTAGGTTCAAGCAAGCCTCTCGCCTCAGCCTCCTGAGTGGCTGTGTCTACAGGTATGTGCCACCATGCCCAGCTATTTTTGTTTTGTAGAGATGGAGTCTTACTATATTGTCCAGGCTGGTTGCAGACTCCTGGCCTCAAGCGATCCTCCCACCTAAGCCTCCCAAAGTGCTGGGATTACAGGCATGAGCTACTTCACCTGGCATAACTTTTAAAATATATTAAAATAATTGTAAGCAACACTATTTTAACACTGGAAACTTGGTAAAGACTTAATGAAAATTTTGATATCATATAGATTTTTGAAGGTTTGTTCATAGGAACTGGATTAAAGTCTTATTAAGCAAGCTTCCCATCCTTCTCTGCTTACTGGGGATGATGAAAGAATTGAAAGAAACTGAGGACAGGTCGGGTATAGTGGCTCACTCCTGTAATCTCAACATTTTGGGAGGCTGTGGCAGGAGGATCGCTTGAGGTCAGGAGTTCAAGACCAGCCTGGACAACATGGCAAAACCCCATCTCTACTAAAAATACAAAAATTAGCTGGGCGTGGTGGTGCACACCTGTATTCCCAGCTACTTGGGAGGCTGAGGCATGAGAATCACTTGAACCCGTAAGGCAGAGGTTGCAGTGAGTCAAGATCATGCCACTGCACTCCAGCCTGGGCAACAGAGTTAGACTCTGTATCAGAAAAATAAAATAAAATAAAAAAGACAAGATAAGATAAAATAAAATAAAATAGACCGTGCTCAGCAGCTCACGACTGCAATTCCAGCACTTTAGGAGGCCAAGGCAGGTGGATCATGAGGTCAGGAGTTTGAGACCAGCCTGACCAACATGGAGAAACCCCATCTCTACTAAAAATACAAAAATTAGCCGGGCGTGGTGGTGCATGCCTGTAGTCCCAGCTACTTGGGAGGCTGAGGCAGGATAATTTCTTGAATCCGGGAGGCGAAGGTTGCAGTGAGCCAAGATCGCGCCATGGTACCTCCAGCCTGGGCAATAAGATCGAAACTCCGTTTCAAAAAAAAGAAACTGAGGACAAGTTTGCTGAAGTAGGGTCTGAAACTATTATCATTCTAATTCTTATTAATCTTTTCAAGGAACAACATAATGAAACGACTAAAAGCCATCCAAAATACTGGGAAAGGCTATGAGGCCAGGAACCTCCACATGATGCTGAGCAGACTTGATGACTACGGGAAAAAGGTGATGCAGGTCTGGACTGAGAAGCAGAAGTCTCTAGGGCAGAAACGGAATCAGTGCCTGAAGAAAATGATACATGTATTCAACCAGGTAACTTGCTTTCCACTCCCTCTCTCCAGCATGTTGTAAAAATGTGAAAGTGGCAAGCTTTGTAAATGACATTTACTTGGAGACACTATGTTATATTACTTTCCTGGGCTGCTGTAACAAATTACCACAAACTTCACAGCTTAAAACAACAGAAATTTACTCTCTCACAGTTCTAGAGGCCAGAAGTTAGTGAAATCAGGGTGTCTGCCGGGTTGGTTCCTTCTAGACGCTCTGAGAGGGCATTCTGTTGCATGCTTCTCTCCTAGATTGTGGTGGCTATGGGCAATCCTTAGCATTCCTCAGTTTGTAGCCACATAATTCCAATCTCTGCCTCCATCTTTCAAATGGCTTTTTTTTTTTTTTTTGAGACAGTCTTGCTCTGTCTCCCAGGGAGTGCAGTGGCACTATTTTGACTTGCTGCAACCTCCACCTCCTGGGTTCAAGCGATTCTCCTGATTCAGCCTCCTGAATAGATGGGATTACAGGTGCCCACCACCACACCCAGCTACATTTTATATTTTTAGTAGAGATGGTGTTTCACCATGATGGCCAGGCTGGTTTCGAATTCCTGACCTTAGGTGATCCACCCGCCTCGACCTCCCGAAGTGTTGGGATTATAGGTGTAAACCACCATGCCTGGCCTGAGTTCTAATAATAAATATTACAAGCAGTGGTTCTAGAAACATTTTATATCTGTATATCCTTCTCTCTCAGCGTCAATTAGTTTATAAGATTAGTTTACTTACTACTTTGGAAGGTACAGAGAGGCTTCTCATCAGATTCTAATCCAAATTATCATCCAAGTCAAACATATAAATTTTCCAGAACTGTTTTATTTTATTTTATTTTATTTTATTATTTAGTTACTTATTTTTGAGACAAGTTCTCACTGTGTCACCCAGGCTGGAGTGCAGTGGTGTGATCTGCAAACTCCGCCTCCTGGGTTCAAGTGATTCTCCTGCCTCACCCTCCTGAGTGGTTGGGATTACAGGTGCCCGCCACCATGCCTGGTTAATTTTTGTATTTTTAGTAGTGACGGGGTTTCACCATGTTGGCCAGGCTGGTCTTGGACTCCTGACCTCAAGTGATCCGCCCACGGCAGCCTCCCAAAGTGCTGGGATTACAGGCGTGAGCCACTGCGCCCGGCCCAGAACAGTTATATTTTAAATATTACAGCTCTTTGTAAAAAAAAAATGAATATGCTCCTTTTTTTGATTTGGCAAATATGGCCAATGTACGTAGAGTAAAGCAAGATGGGTTGGCAGCAACATGCGTTGTCTAACAGGAATCACAATGCCTAGGGCATTTCAGAGGAGGAATAAGGGTCTGGGGCCAGGGAAGCCAGAATCCAGAGGATGAGGTATGGGTATCAAGGCTTGGAGAAAGGAGACAAAAAAAGCAAAAGGGATAAGAGGTTAAATATAAATGAATACTTTGCAGTGAATCAGCGTGGTGCTCAAGATGGCTAGCTCCGCTACCAGATTGTCTGGGTTCAAATCAGCCTAGCTACATACTAGCTAAGTGACTTTATGCAAGCTGCTTACATTTTCTGAGCCTCAGATTCTCCTGCTGTAAGACAAGGGTAATAATAACACATACCGCATAAGGTTATTACAAATACCAAATCAGCTAATATATGGAGAGGGCTTAGTTCAGTGTCTGACATTCAGTAAGTATTTAGTAAATGCTGGCTATCATTACAGTTGCATACTGCTTCACAATTTATAAAGTGCTTCCATATACACTGTGTTTTACAATTCTCGCAACCACTCTGTGTTATTATCCCTGTTTTAGAAATGAGGAGAAAGAAGTGTAGATAAGCAACTATCCCAAAGTCTCACAGCAAGAAAATGAGAGGACCAGGATTTGAGCTTAAGTAGGACCAAGGTTTTTATGTAGCAGAGCTGCCACCTCTTGAAATGACGCATGTTGGAGGTGGGTGGAGTAGGGAAAGGATTTGCAAATCCATGGAAAAGGAGGAGTCACAGTTTAGTGTAGGGCCAGCTCTGAAGACTCTTCTAAAGATTCTGTCTCTTTTCATGGTTTCCTTTTTCTGATCTATTTTTTTATAGCTCAAAAAGATATATGAATTGAATCTTAGTCAACCTATCCCCTTAATCATCGAAGAAAAGCAGATACCTGCCGCTACCACATTTGTTCAGAAGCCATTCTTAAAATTACTAGTGGAAGAAGACAGAACCTCTGACATATTCAAGAAATCTAGGTATGTGCTAGAAAGACTGATATTAAACTTTGTTTGGACGATATGTGGGACCTAATTTTTTTTCCCTGCCCAAGAACTTCCCTTTCTTCACAGTTATCAAATGGTGCAATGGAGAGTCTAAAGGAGTATTAGGCCGGGCACGGTGGCTCACGCCTGTAATCCCAGCACTTTGGGAGGCCGAGGCAGGTGGATCATCTGAGGTTGGGAGTTCAAGACCAGCCTGACTAACATGGAGAAACCCCAGCTCTACTAAAAAAAGTACAAAATTAGCCTGGCGTGGTGGCGCATGCCTGTAATCCCAGCTAGTCGGGAGGTTGAGGCAGGAGAATCACTTGAACCTGGGTGGCCGAGGTTGCGGTGAGCCGAGATCGTGCCATTGCACTCCAGCCTGGGCAACAAGAGTGAAACTGTCTCAAAAAAAAAAAAAAAAAAAAGGAGTATTAATTCCCTTAGCTAAGTTGGCATATATTTCTACTTAAATATTTAACATTGGATTTTGAGTTCCTCTAAAAATAAAGTAGAGTCTTTCTTACTAAAAAACTCATTCTTTTAAGAATAGTTAATAAAAAAACTTAGAAGCATTATCTTCTTTTTTTCTTCTATTTTTTTTTTAAGGAGGCAGGAGCTTTGGGAAGGAAGGGGGAAAGTTATGTGGTCTCTCTACACCATGAAGCTAAAATGGTAGTTGTAAAATGGATTACTAGGTGAAGTCATGAAAATGCAGCTTTGGTAACTCAGCAAATTCTGCTTTTTCATCCATCTCTCTGTCAGAGTGGGCATAGCTAATGCTGGTCAGTGCAAGGGGAGGGCATTACGGGATGAGGTGGTAGTGAAGAAGGGAGAATAAGATATATTTTTGATGGGCTATGGAGCTCAGGAGAATTTGGCATTCCCAACTTATGCTCTCTGATTCTGTAGACAACAAGAGGACCAGACACAGCCCATCTGGAATGTTGATCTGTCCACTTCAAGCTACCCAATAGCAGAGAAGACATCTATGCATTCACTCTGGGCCCAGCTGGGTGGGTACCCAGATATTCCCAGGCTGCTTCAGTTAGAGGTGCAGTCTACCTTCCGAAAATCTCTTGCATCCCTCCAGTCACAGTAAGTTATGGACTGGAAGCACTCTGGTAGTTGGGCCTTTGATCATAAACCTTTTGGTTCCCTAACTTGACTTTCTCCTGTAGCACCACGTACAGGAGAAATTGGTACTACATCAACCAAAAGTAATGTTTGGTATGAGGTTAGACTGACACCAGTCATAAAATAGTACAGGTAAATTCAGCATTAGTCTGTTAGTGTTTCTCATCATAGGCCTGTAGATGTCATCACTGAGTAATATAAAACAAACAAAAAACCAATTATAATACCATGAACCTAATCTAACACTAGATAGGTCCATTTTTAATTCTATCCTTAGGGATTTGCTAATAGAAATACCAGAAAGACCACTGTAGAATGCTTTTCTCCATATTATGATTCAGTGACATGACCTTAAGTGCAATTATCATATCTAGACCCAAATTGGGTAAAGTAGGTGTTTATTTCCTAGGATATACTGAAGAGATGACTCCACATTTCCAAAATCTGTTGAACCAGATTCTCACTTACACCACTGGAAATTATTCCAGAGGAAATAAGGGCTTTGGAGTCTGCGTTAACTTTTTCAGGACAGATAATTATTTAATATTCAAAATCAGGAATTTAGAAAATTGAACTTTTGTTAATCTTAAAGAGTTCACAGAAGCAGTCTGATTTATTTTGGTGAAATCTAAGTCCTGAAGTAAGAAGTAGTGTTAGGCTAGGTGCGGTGGCTCATGCCTGTAAATCCAGCACTTTGGGAGGCCAAGGTGGGTGGATCATCTGAGGTCGGGAGTTTCAGACCAGCCTGGCCAACATGGTGAAACCCTGTCTCTACTAAAATACAAGATTAGCTGGGCATGGTGGTATACGTCTGTAATCCCAGCTACTCAGAGGCTGAGACAGGATAATTGCTGGAACCCAAGAGGTGGAGGTTGCAGTGAGCCCAGATTGTGCCACTGCACTCCAGCCTGGGCAATAGAGTGAGACTCTGTCTCAAAAAAAATAAGTAGTATTAATTCACAAATTTGTCCAGGTGGCAGACACCATAAAATAAGACATTTAAACTTCTATAATACAGCAAAACATTAGGAAAAATATTACTATTTGATGCATACAGTATAAAGTCATATATCATGAGCATAAGTTTATGGAAAAAAAATTATTAAACCAAATGTAACAATTAAGTTGAATAAGCATGACTCATAGGTTATAATCAGAAAGCAACATTTTTTCTGGTCTCCCATTTTCCCTTTTATAGTGATTAAACTAATTAATTTAGGTTATTTTGAGGGATAATATTGCTAATTTAATGATTATAGGGCCTTGGGATGAAATACATAAATTTTTAAGTTTCACTTTCCTTACATTCCATTACTAGCTTCAAGTGTCAGATATCCTTCTGACCTAACCACTTCTTACTCATGCTAAATCTCTGCAGACTCTTATTTCCAGTTTACTATTTTATTTTTATTTATTTATTTTCAAGACAGAGTCTCCATCTGTCATCCATCCTAGAGTGCAGTGGTGCAATCTCAGCTCACTGAAATCTCTGCCTCCTGGGTTCAAGCGATTCTCCTCAGCCTCCCCAGGTAGCTGGGACTACAGGTGCATGCCACCACGCCCAGCTAATTTTGTTTGTATTTTTAGTAGAGACAAGGTTTCACCATGTTGGCCAGGCTGGTCTTGAACTCTTGACCTCAGGTGATCCACCTGCCTTGGCCTCCCAAAGGGCTGGGATTACAGGCATGAGCCACCGTGCCCGGCCTGGATATGTTTTAAAACCTACTTTGAGGCCAGGAGTGGTGGCTCATGCCTATAATCCTGAACTTTGAGAGACTGAGGCAGGTGGATCACTTGAAGCCAGGAGTTTGAGACCAGCCTGGCCAACTTGGTGAAACCCTGTATCTACTAAAAATATAAAAAATTAGCTGGGCATGGTAGCACACACTTGTAGTCCCAGCTACTCAGGAGGCTGAGGCATGAGAATGGCTTGAGTCTGGGAGGCAGAGGTTTCAGTGAGCCGAGATCACGCCACTGCACTCCAGCCTGGGCAACAAAGACTGTGCCTCAAAATAAAAAATAAAATAAAATTTAAAAAACCTACTATATGTTTCATTAAACAGTACATCTTTGAAATTTTTCTATGCTAAAAGAGCTACATCATCATTTTGTTGGTTGCATGATATTCATTGTATATCTGTAGTTTTTGTTTGTTTTTAAAGATGTGGTCTTGCTCTGTCACTCAGGCTACAGTGCAGTGGCACAATCATAGCTCAGTGTAACCTCGAACTTCTGGGGTCAAGTGATCCTCCTGCTTTAATCTCCCAAGTAGCTGGGATTACAGGCACACCTGGCCCATTGTATAGATATATCGTAATTTATTGAATTGTTCTCCTACTGATAGAAATTTGGATATTTTCCTACATTGCAAACAATGCTACACCAAATATCTTTGCAGTACTTTGTATATTTATATAATTATTTTCCTATGAAAATTCCATTAAAATAATATTCAGTTTTTTCCAATTACATAAGTAATGCATGTTCACCGAAAATTTAAAAAATACAGACGGGTCTATCCTTGGAAATAACCATCATTAATTATCAATATTTAAGCCATGTTCTAACTTTAGGTATAAGAATACTATCTAATAAGTAATAAGGTATTGCCAAGTCCTTTTCTTCCTGATTTTGGGTCTTCGAGGCATTCTGTCACCTTTATGGTAACTTTACGTATATGGATTACAGGCCAGTCACAGTGGCTCACACCTGTAATCCCAGCACTTTGGGAGGCCAAGGAACTCCTGAACTTAGATGCTTGAGTTCAGGAGTTCAACACCAGCCTGGGCAAAATGGCAAGACCCCAGTCTGTACCAAAAGTACAAAAAAACAGCCAGGTGCGGTGGTGTGCCCCTGTGGTCTTAGCTACTTGGGAGGCTGAGGTGGGAGGATTGCTTGAGCCTGGGGAGCAGAGGTTGCAGTGAGCTGAGACAGCACCACTGTACTACAGCCTGTGTGACAGTAGGAGACCCTGTCTCAAAAACAAACAAACAAACAAACAAACAAAAGGATTACATACAGATTTTACTAGTTTAACTTTGTGAGTTCTGGAGGCACTTTTATTTTCCCTATGACTCACCTATATTCCCACAAAAGTGTTTAAAGCAATTCATAATGAGGTTAATTTTCTTGTTTCATTTCCAGGGTTAAGAAGATTCCCAAATGACTGTAAAATTAAATACAAGCATATTGAAAGTACATTTCAACATCTTTCAGTAAAATGCCTATTTTGTTCTCTTTTGTGCGTATATATTGCTTTGTGTTTCCTTTGCTTTTATATTCTGCCTGTAGTTCTTCAGGTTGAACATCTTCATTTCTGGACTACTACTATGAAGAAAGAGTATCTTCTGCTCTAGACAACGGGAAACACAAAGCTTCAACAACCCTGAGGTAGGCTGAGTCGTGAAAGGGACATAATTATGGTCCCCTAACATGATGGCAAAGTGGCACAGTCTGCCTCCCCCAGTCTAAACCGGAAGACACCTCAGAAGGAAGAAATAAATGAGTGTAATGAAGGAAACTAAAAACCAGCAAAAACCCCAGAAGAATTAGAAGGTGGTTATGATTGGTAATGAAGGGAAATCATGTTACCACCAGAGGGTTGTGACTACAAGTTGTCCAGGTTTTTGGCATTTTGAACAAAGAATTGGGCAAAACGCCCAGCAAAGCAAAGAAAGAATGAAGCAACAGAAGAAGTACGCTCCACAGCGCAGGAGTGGCCCAAGCAGCTGCTCAAGGGCCCTGATACAGAATCTTCTTGGGTCCAAATACCCTCTAGAAGTTTCCTATTGATCACTTCATGCTCATCTCATGTAAATAAAGGGGCAGCTTGCAATCAGTCTGATTGGTTGCAGCAAAAAGCACCCAATCAGAGGCTAGGGTAAAGTTACAAACTTATACTTCTTCTTCTTTTTTTATTTTATTTTATTTATTATTTTTTTATTTGAGACAGAGTTTCGCTCTTCTTGCCCAGGCTGGAGTGCAATGGAGCAATCTTGGTTCTTGAACCTCCACCTCCTGGTTTCAAGCGATTCTCCTGCCTCAGCCTCCCGAGTAGCTGGGTTTACAGGCATGCATCACCACACCTGGCTAATTTTGTATTTTTAGTAGAGACAGTGTTTCTCTATGTTGGTCAGGCAGTCTCGAACTCCCGGCCTGAGGTGATCCACCTGCCTTAGCCTCCCAAAGTGCTGGGATTACAGGCGTGAGCCACCACGCCCGGTCTCAAAGTTATACTTTAATGCAAACAAAGACTGGCCTGCAATCAGTCTGATTCATTGAGGACAGCCAATTTCCCATCTGCCTCACAGAAAAAGGTCAAAGGGAGTAGCCTCTGGTCCTTTTGTTTCTTAGGTGTGTGGAAAGTTAGGGGTTTCCTTTCCATTTAGTTCTAGGAAGTTGGCGTGCAGCCTTTAGGTTTGCTGCCTCCAGACCCTATTGTCCTTCCTCAATAATTCTGTACAATGGAGGTCCAGGCTTCCAACATGGGGATTGTATTAGTCAGGCTTCTCTTAGAGGGACAGAACTAATAGGATATATATAAAGGAGAGTTTATTAAGTATTAACTTACACGATCAGAAGGTTGCACAATAGGCTGTCTACAAGCTGAGGAGCAAGAAGAGCCAGTCCAAGTCCCAAAACTGAAGAACTTGGAGTCTGATGTTCAAGGGCAGGAAGCATCTGGCATGGGAGAAAGGTGTACACTGGGAGGCTAGGCCCATCTCTCATCTCTCTCCTTTTCACATTTTTCTGCCTGCTTTATATTCAGTGGAAGTTGATAAGATTGTGCCCACCCAGTTAAGGGTGGGTGGGCCTTCCCCAGCCCACTGACTCAAATGTTAATCTCCTTAGCAACACCCTCACAGACACATGCAGGATCAGTACTTTGCATCCTTCAATCCAATCAAGTTGACACTCAGTATTAACCATCACAAGTCCACTCCTTGTCAACTTGAACACATCTCCTGAGAGCATACATAATCTTCAAATAAAAACAATAATGTCACAATTACACTTAACATAATACGAGTATCCCTTGTACAACCGGAAAGGCACTGATCCCCAACCCAAATCCTATTACATAAAGTTAACAATACTTAAATGCTGATATGAAGTCAATAAATCTTATGTCACATGATAAAGGAAAAGGAAATAAAATGAAAATAGTTTCTTAGTACAAGTATATACACACACAAACATGTTTTTAACAAAAGAAGGAGGAAATACTTATGACAGTTATAGCCCTCATTTCTGCAGCTGGTCACAAGGTTGTAGCTGGTATTGATGACTACCTTCTTTTACTACCCATTCTGTACTCCCTTTGCCTTCAGCAAACACCTCAGCAGGTCATGGCTTTTTTCCTGATGGAGTAACCTAAACCTTTATTCTTGAAGGATCTGGACCATCTGTAGTCCTGCCTGGATTGGACTATTGTAGTTTCCCATTGACCTTAATCACAGGTCATGGAAATACGAAGAGATGCCCTAATGGATCTCCTGTATCCATGCATACTCTTCCTTATCTCCATTGTGGAGTAGTAGACTGATTTCAGATTTCATCTTGATAGTCCGGGTCAGTCACCCCAGCCAACACTGTAACTCTCTGTTGACTTAAAGGTAGGAGGAGCCCAAAGTGTCCAGGTGGCAATCTTAACTTCCAGTTTAATGGAATTGTTGTTCTGTCTCCTGATGGCAGCATTCTTCCCTCTGGAACTAAGACCTCTAGGCCCAGCAGAACATAATGTTGTGGGAAGAAGAGGCAAAAATTTTGCTAGTGTATCACTAGGGGTGATGGTGAGTGGTGCCACTTCCACTTCCACCTTGATTCCTGGACCTGTGAATCTTAATTATGGGAGAATCAATCCCATATATTGGACACTGATTCAGAGCATACATGGCCTTTTGGAGAATTTTGCCCCAGCCCTGCAAAGTATTATCACCTAGTTGGCAATATAATTGTGACTTCAAAAGGCCATTCCACCATGCTCTCAACCCAGCTGCTTCAGGATGATAAGGAACATGGTAACACCAGTGATTTCCATGAGCATGAGCCCACTGTCGCATTTCTTTAGCTGTAAAGTGAGTGCCTCGGTCAGAGACAATGCTGTGTGGGATACCGTGATGGTAATAAGGCATTCTGTGAGTTCACAGATGGTAGTCTTGGCAGAAGCACTGCATGCAGGATAGGCAAACCCATATCTGAAGTAAGTGTCTATTCCAGCGAGGACAAACCTCTGCCCTTTCTATGATGGAAGCGGTCCAATATAATCAACCTGACACCAGGTAGCTGGCTGATCACCCCGAGGAATGGTGCCATATTGAGGGCTCAGTATTGGCGCCTCTGCTGCTGGCAATTTGGGCACTCAGCAGTGATCTGGCCCGTAGCCAGATCAGCCTTGGTGAGTGGGAGCTCATGCATAACCTCCAGCCCTGCCACCATGGCCAATTTGTTCATGCGCCCATTGGGGGATAAGAGGGGTGGCTGGGGAAAGAGGCTGAGTGGTGTCCACAGAATGGGTCATCCTATCCACTTGATTATTTAATTCCTCCTCTCCTAAGGTCACCCATTGGTGAGCTCACATGGGATACAAATATCTTCACAGTTTGTGACCACTCAGAGAGGTCCATCCACATATCTCTTCCCCAAATTTCTTTGTCACCAATTTTCCAATCATTCTTCTCCCAAGTCCCTGACCATCCAGTCATTGGCTACAGCCCATGAATCAGTATATAATCACACACCTGGCCATTTCTCCTTCCATGCAAAGTGTACAACCAGGTGCACTGCTTGAAGTTCTGCATGCTGGGAAGATTTCCCTTCACTGCTGTCCTTCAGGGATGTCCTAGAAAGGGGCTGTAGTGCTGCAGCTGTCCACTTTCAGGTGGTGCCTGCATATTGTGCAGAACCATCTGGAACCAGGCCCTAGTCTTCTCTTCCTCTGTCAACTGACCATAGAGAACTCCCCATGAGTCCACCAGTGCAGGCTGGGGGAGAGAAGGCAGGGTGGCAGGAATGGAGACCATGGGCATTTGAGCCACTTCCTCATGTAACTTACTTGTGCCTTCAGGACCTGCTCGAGCCCAATCATGTATATACCACTTCCATTTGATGATGAAATGCTGCTGTGCATGACCCATTTTAAAGCTAGATGGGTCAGAAAGCACCCAGTTCATGATAGGCAGCTCAGGTCACATGGTGACTTGATGACCCATAGTCAAATGCTCAGTTTCCACCAAAGCCCAGTAACAGGCCAAGAGCTGTCTCTCAAAATGAAAGTAGTTATCTACAGAAGATGGCAGGACCTTGCTCCAAAATCCTAGAGACCTCTGCTGTGATTCACCCATGGGGCCTGCCAAA